TTCTGTTTGCACTCGAGAGAAGAGTGACTCTAAAGAGGAAATGGCATGCTGACGGAAGCAACTGCACAAACTGGGCTGCACCTCCCAGATTGCTACCTTTTCCATTTCTGATTTGTAAAATTTATAATAAGCCATATTATGCTCAACAAGTGGCAAGGACGTGGGAATTATGCAGCCTGTTTTGTAGGACGTCAGTTTGGTGGAAAAGTGGTATATATCGGTGAACTATGGTTTGTGGGAAAGACCACTTGAAATTATTTGGGCCTAACTGAATTTATACAAATTGAGGAGATGACAGCAGCAGAAATGAAGTTTTGGTTCATGCCAGTGCAATAATAAACATAGAATGGGCTGGATCCCATGGAATAGGGCTGGATTCAGGCAAGCCAACAGGACTCAAAGGAATAGCACATTAGCTTTCAGCGAGTTGGGGATCTGTGACCTAAGGCACACCACTTCACCTCTCTGGGCCGCACTCCTTCCCAGTTTGCAGTGTATGATCAACAGTATAATATTCGATGTCTCTTATAAAGATTCAAAGGCATACCTGCTCAGGGACTGGGCCTGGCAGACAGGAGATGGCATAGTACTATTATTTTTATTAGTTGTGGTTTTATTAGCAGTAGTAAATTTGTTACCGCTGCCTTTATTATTATTTGACATGAAATGTGAAAATATTAAAGGATGGCAAGAAGAAATGATTTCCAACACCTGCCGACATTACTGTGGTCTGCTGGTGCTTTTCTGCTTTGTTTTTGTTTTTTTGAGACCGGGTTTTGCTATACCTTTGAGGCTGGCTTTGAACTCACTTTGTACCCAGGCTGACCTCAAACTCGCAGTGATCTTCCTGCCTCAGCCTCCCAGTGCTGGGATTACAGGTGCCATACCTCCATGCTTGGTGACGCTAGTGTTTTAAAGTTGCTAGAAATGTTTGCCTCTCTTTCACAGAGAGCACATTGGCCAAGCAATGGCCGTGACTCATCCACATGGCTGACACTGACAAACGTTCTACAATCTGAGGTACAGG